TGTCTGCCCTCTGGTGGTCAGTGCATGCCATAGCAAGTGGTTGAGCAGCCTTAGCATATCATTAGCATATTACGCTTTGATTGGTTGAATGGACGACCAGACAACTGGACACTTAGCATATTAGGCTTGTATTATATAGGATTGTGTTTGATTTAAAGCATTCAATATTAACATTTTGGGGTATGGAATAAAAGCATGATTACGAAAATTATTAATGCTCACACAAATTCAACATGTCCTAACATTTTTTTTAACACTTCGGTTAAAAAAACCAAATCTTCCTGCAATCTTCCATTCCTCCCGCTGACATTGATTACATGTACTTCTCTCAAGGATCGGTAGTAGTGCATATTTACAATATACCAGATACTTTTTCTAAGTGCTTTATGTATATTAACACATTCACGACTCCCAAGAGAATAGATTCTATATCTCCATCATCTATCATATCTTACAGATGAGGAAACTTGAAACAAAGAATACTGTTTAAGATATACTGTATTTGGAACAGAGACCAACTGTCCATTTCATTTGTGGAATCTGCTACAAAAAAAAACACACACACACCAGCATTTGAAGAAACTCAAATAAAATATTTCACTTTGCAGAAAACTTATAAGTAGAGTTCATATGTGTTTGTTCATACTGTATTTCTAGACGTGTGTAGTCAATACAAGAGTCACCAACTACATGTAGCTACTGAGCACCTGAAATGTGAGTAGCACAAATTGCAATGTGATGTAAGTATAAAATACACACCAGAGCCTGAATTTAATATAAATGTAAAACATACCATTAATAAAGTTTGTATTGATTACATGATAAAATGATAATATCTGGAAACCCTCATTAAATAAAATAAAATATATTATTAAAATTAATTTCATTTGTTTCTTTTAATGGGGCTATTGCAAAATTTTATACGTATGCGGCCCACACTATTATATTACACTAGCGGCCCAGTGCACGAATTCGTGCACGGGTGGGGTCCCTCAGAATGGCCTGTGGGGACTGGGCCAAAACCGGCAGTCCAACGCTGCCTGTTGCTCCCCCCCATCCTGGCCCCACTGCACCTGCCATGGCCTCCCACCAGTCAGTCCTGATGGGGAGAGGCTCACACCGAGGTATTGGCACTCGCCAGCCATGAGCCCTGAATCTGGTGCCTGTCCCAAGGGAGGTGGAGGGGGCCGAGATGTGATCAGCCCTCTGGGCGGGCAGTGGGACGCTCTTGCTGGCCCAAGATCCGGCCCACTCACATTCGTGCCAGGTGTCAGGAGCCACCTGGTGGCCGCTTTTATATTGTTTCTTCCTTGCAAATTGTCTAGGGAGGGGAAGCGGCCGCAGTGCCCGAGGCTGACTTCCAGGAGGCCGGCGGCGCTGTCGGGATCGTGTAGGTGGCGCCGGTCCGTCAGTGCCTGGCCCGTTCTCTGGAGATTAGACCTGCAGGACTACTGAGGGGTGGTGCTGCTGGGATGGGTTGGTCAGCTGAAAGGCACTCCCACTGTGGGAGCACACTGACCACCAGCAGGCAGCTCTGCATTGAGCGTCTGCCCCCTGTGTTGAGCGTGATCAGTGTGCATCATAGTGACCGGTCGTTCGGTCATTCGGTTGCTTAGGCTTTTATATATACAGAAATCTATTAAATAGTTGGTTTAGGTTTAAGAATATGAGTAGCCACAGAAAATTATTATCGAAGTTCTTTTACCAATCAATACAAGCTTAACTCCTTCAAAGTGGAAGTATTATAAAATGGAAAGTTTCTCTCTCACTGTGTGTGTGTATGTGTGTGTAGTATGTCATATAGATGTATATATACCTACATGTATGTATGTACACATATATATATATATCATGAAAAACAGAGGAACACACACTACACTAATACTTAACTACATTCAACACATGAGATTATTTTATGACCAGGCAAACACTTGAGGTAATACCAATACTTTGTGGATGAGGAAAGAAAAACAAATCTAAGAGGAAATAACAGCCATGAGAAAAAATTTTATTTTCTTTTAAACTGAACTCATAAAGGTTCCTTTAATCAAAAATGATCGAACCACTTAGTTTCAGGGGTATAATAAATGCCAACTCTATGTGGTAAGCAAAATTTAAATTTCTTGATGGCTTAACTAGCAGACTATTAAAATATCTGATGTATGATATCTGGTATCTTCTAGTAAATATCCAGTTTATGGATACCTGTCACATTGTTTTGATCAATTTCATACATTTAACTGATTCTTCTAAACGGATGCTGGTCCACTATATAGATGAAAATTACTCCATAAAGTTTACATCAGATATCTGGAAAAGTCACATTTATAGTCATGGCTACTATCAGCTGTCAAGCCAAAGAATATTAAAGAAAACCAAGAATTTTTAATATATGCTGGTTAATTTATCATCTAAGTGACATATGTAGTGTAACAAAACAATTGAAAATGGTTAAGCAAAATTCTGCATTTTGAAAGGTTCCTTTTTTTCTGGTTTTATTTTTTATTGCAACTATGATTTGAGAAGCCATGGTGAGAAAGCAAATTAGCAGGAACCATAAAAATAGAGTTGCTAAATAAAGTACACACTAAGATTTTTTTTTTCCCTCCCACAGATTATTTAAGACATTCAATTTTTTATCGCTAATATACCAATATTTTAGTTTGCTATGAAAACTAGTTAAACCATCTATCCCAGGGTTTCTCAACATTGACACTACTTATATTTGGGGCTAGATAATCCTTTATTATGGAGAGACTATCCTATGTATTGTAAGATGTTTAAGAGCATCCCTGGCATCTACCCAATAGATGCCAATAGCACTCTCCCACAACAGCTGAGACAACTAAACATGTCCAAACATGGTCAAGTGTCCTCTGTGGGGTTGAAATCTCCCTTAGTTAAGAACCATTGGTGTATTCCTACCCAAAATACTTTCCTTGGTGAAAATTACTTCAGTACTTCCTAAACTACTCTTCCTTGGGGATTCCCAGACAGCTTCAGCAGAGAGATCATTAAACTTCCTAAAACCATATGCAGAATACTCTGGGTAGGTTTTTACTTGTGTGCATGCACTGGGATGTGTTTCATCAGATCCTGAAAGAGTTATCCCAAAAATGGCAATTAAAAAAGGGTTAAGAATTAGTTCTTCGACTAAAATATTCACTGCTCCCTGAGCCATCTTTTCAAGGCTATAAAGACTGACAATACTAGTTTATACAAAGCAAATAATTTATTGGTGCTATTAATTATTAGGCAAAATTGCTTTTACCACACGTACAAACCCTTCATTCAACAAATATTTGCTGAGTGCATTCTATAGGGTGTCCCAAAATTCACGCAAGAAGTAATTTTGATAAAAAACACAGGTTTATAATTAAAAATTGTAAATTTTGTATTGATTCATAAAGTATACAGTATAGGGTTATGTATGGAATAGCACATCGGGTAAATGGCCTCCACGGTTTTGCTGGCACATACGCAAAGCCATGGTCTTCAATGGTCTTCATTGTCCCTGCTCCTGGGCCATAATTGGTACTTGGTAATGCTTATCAAATTGAAGGGATTGAAATCAAAGGGCAACAGATATTAGAATCTGATTCAATAAACCAAGTAAAATTAGGCTTTTTTTGTTGTTGTTGTTGTTAATGCTCACGCAAAATTCAAATCTTGCGTGAATTTTGGGACACCCTATATATTCTAGACACCATGTTATTAGTATTTAAAAGCTAAACTTAAATTATTTTCCCTTTCCAAAAATAAATAAATAAATAATTTTTAAAAAATTAAATAGCAGTATAAAATCCATATTTATTGCCTATAACCAACTAAAATTTCTGCTTCTCAAAAGTTAACATAAGAAAATACACTAGTTATAATGCTAGTGCCTAAAGATAAAGGTAAATAAGTAAAATAAACATAATTTATTTTCTAAAAAGATACAAATCTTCAAAAAGAAAGAAACTTAAAGATACTCAGACTTATAAAAATAAGTTATTGTTCAATAGATTCCTTTTCATCTCTCCTTTCCCTATCTTAAACAAAACTCAAATGTACTGAATGATATACTATGTATTAGACATAGTTATTAAGCCCAGAGGATACCAAGTGAATAAAAAAATATAATGAGATAACCAAATGCCTAACATCATGCCTAGAACACAGTAGAAGTTCACAGTTCCTTTTCTTCCTTTCTGTCCTCAAGATGCTGACAGTCTCATCTCCAATAAATATCACATGTCTTACATTTCTCTTTTAAGTTATCTTTTAGATGCTGGACCAAAAAAAAAATTCTCTTTGTAATTCAAATTATGTAAACTAACTGAATAAACAGCAGCTAAGTATGTAAAATGTTTGAATAATTATAATTCTATAACCACATGAACATTTCTTTCTTTTGTTAAAGCAAATAATCCCCAAGAATCCCATTCTTCCTATAGTACAATTTAAAATTTATAGAACCACTAATCTTTTTTGGATTATACAACTGTGATATACAACTTAAAGAGCTATTGCATTCAATAAGTGGTTTGGGGATAAACACTAATGTAATCAATAAGTATATAAAAAATTACTAGAGAAGAATATGTCTGCTTCAAGATTATCAAATGGATTAATGTTAGAATGAGTAAAATGAGAAAAGGATGCTTTAAAATATGTGGTGAATAAATCTTCACAAATAAGTTAGAAAGTAATCCTGTGTCTGTAAATGAACATATCACCCCCAAAAAATCAACACCGTCATCTCTAGCCAAAAGCAAAACTACTAAGAAACAGAAGTAATTTTTTATAAAAAGAACAAATAATGAAAATGTTATGCTTATTTTATATACTGACAATTAACTGAATAATATTATGTAATAAACTTAACCTTCACAGAAGAGATTATATTGATCATTGTAAATCACACGAAAATTCTAAACAGACGTATCAAATTATCTGGGGGGGGAGCGGATTTTCCAACTCAAAATGAAAAAATGTTACATTATTTATATATTTACCTGCACAGCAAGGGAAGCAGCATTGTCAGAAAGCAAAATTTGCTCCCCTGTGGAAATACAATAAAATGTTTGAGTCAAAAGTGTGATTGCTAACCAAGTCAGATATACTTATATTTTTATTTTTAAAAATTATTCTTATTTTTAAAAAGATATAGCCTTCTAGTAACATAAGTATTAAGTTCTAGATCAATGCTATTTAATTATAATTTTGATTATATTATCATTGTATGCAAACAATTATAAAACAAGACTACTCTAAAACTGATTATCACATTTTTATCAGCAATATATAATTAAAATCGCTCACTTAAAAACAAATTCATTTTTCAAGTTTTCAAGATATTCCTCTTCTTTTCATTAAAATTAAGTATATTTTAAAATTAAGTACTATTTGTATCTACTCAAACCTCTCTAGTTAAAACTATTTGAAATCATATAAAACCAGCTTGCAGTTAATATTGCACAGTGTGTTTAGGTCTGTCACACAAAAGAAAGATGACAAGTTCACTGCAATAAAAATTCCATGCTTAGAAGACTAGGGCTGCTGCCTATTAGTCTTCATTACTTTGCAGTCTTCTGACAACTGTAGCAGGCTGCTGAGCCCCAAATGGGGTCCATAATGTGATCTGATGATATATGAAGAGCTGCTAAAGGGAGCCTGAACATCCTGGCCTATACATTTTAACAGTTCCTTTTTACTGCGAGCCCACTTTACCACAGGACTTCAAAAATCTGCTGTGTCAGCTATTGGTGCAGTAAATCTGCCAACTGCTCCTGCAACCACATCATTTTACACTGCCTACAGCAGCCAATATAATGAGTCAATAATAAACTAAGGACCTTATAGGCCATGAATAGTTGGTTTACACTGGCAGATACAAGTTTAGGCAAAATCTCTTAGACAAATTATACAAGGGAAGCCCTTTTTATGTTTTATGTTCTCCTTGCAGTAAATTATATTATTGAAGGAATTTTTTTAATAGATATATTTTGATGCAAGGCCATTTTTAATTATGAACAAGTACCTACCTTTCAGTTGCTGATATAATGTAGCATTTTCAGGCCAAGGTTCTACAGCTGTGGAAACAAGGCAGTGGTAATTAGGCACATAGGGCAAAAACATATAAATAATCCACCAAGTTCAATAAGCACATGCATTGGCCTAGAGCAGCGGTTCTCAACCTGTGGGTCGCGACCCCTTTGGGGGTCGAACGACCCTTTCACAGGGGTCGCCTAAAACCATCGGAAAGCACATATATAATTACATATTGTTTACAGTAGCAAAATTACAGTTATGAAGTAGCAACGAAAATAACTTTTTGGTTGGGGGTCACCACAACATGAGGAACTGTATTAAAGGATCACAGCAGTAGGAAGGTTGAGAACCACTGGTCTAGAGCATTTAAAGTCAATTGCCAAGTTACCTTAACTGTGGCAACTACTCACACTACCTTAGAATCTAACTTAGATTACACAGGTTACACAGGTAACCTGTGTAAGTAGGTTAGATAATGTTTTAAATGCATGTTTGGTTTATTGTTTGGTGGTCATTGGTTTTTTGTTTGTTTGTGTGTTATGGGGAGGAAGTGGAAGATATCTTGCCCAATCGAAAGTAAGAATTGAAAAAACTAACTTAGCCTATATGCTACTATTCCTTTAGCCTCCTTCAAACACAGACATATCCAAAATGTTACCCATATATATATAAAGATACTGAATTCTGATTCACTATAAAAATAGTGAAATAATATTTATATTTCACTGTAAACATTTAACAAAGTAAATTTTCAAACAGACAACAATGCATGAAAGAATCAAATATATCTGTATGATGCTATGCATGTTGCTTTATAAGCTGGTAGTACTTAAACATATAGTGGAATCCTGCTGTATTCTAGAACATTTCATTGCCTTGATCCCACCACCACCACCCCACAAAATCGAAGGAGAGTAGCATGACGAAGCAGTAGGTACCTACAATGTCAAAGCTGATAAAGTTAATTTTAGACCTAAAGTCAGGTTTGACCATGACTCTTAACCATTCATCTACAGAAGACTAGTTAGCTACAAAAATATTAGTAACTTATCAGTGCTTGGAAAAAGCACTAGATTTAAATTCTATCTAATCAATTGCACTTAAGAAGCAACGTCTCCACTTATAGAGTATATAGGATATGATTTGTTGAATTGTCCTTTGTAAAAGCCATAAAACATCAGAATCACCAATTCTGGCATAGTAACTACATTTGCTCTCAGGAAAAAAGTAAATTAAATACATGAAATTTGATAATAATTGGTATTTTCTTATTCTGTTTATAGTACAGTTTCTGTGATATAGCCATAAGTTATCATTTAATATATAAATCTAGCTGACTTTTTTAAAGAAATGTATGTATGTGAAGTATTTTTTTTCTTATGAATGATCATTTAAGATGCACTAAAACAGTCCCAGGGATAAGGTGACTCCTTAACTTGCTTTTATTTACACTTTAGAATTAAAAGGAAAACGTAATAGTAGTATTATAAATTATAAATGCTAGCTTTACTTTGGTTTAGTTTGGGCTACACAAAATTAAGCTCATACTTAAGGTTAATACCATGAAATCGCCAAGCAAATAATGAACATACATAGTTTTATATGCTATTACCCACCACATTATACATACACGTAAAGGCTACTGAGTTTCAACTCACATACCAAAAAGCAGTGAAACTAAATATTTATTATGTTATTGTAAACTTTTTAACAAAGTAAAATTGCAGTAAGAAACCCAATTAACCTGTGTAACACAGTTTTATAAAAAGTCAGGGAAACAGAAACAAGCTGACATCAGCAAATTACTCAAAAATAACCTTTTAGGATAAATTGTATGGTCAGCACACCTACACTGTTTACATCTATATGAGAAACAATACAATGAGGTTCATTCATTATAAGATCCTACATCATCAAAGATTCAATTGTATGTACTATATTAATATTTTTAAAGCAATAAAGCATAGAAATAAAATTTACAAAAATTTCAAAGATCTTGAAACTAAGTTCCTTGAGGACATAGATGTGTTATATACAGTATATCTTCTGTATCATGTTGTGCGTATAGTTGGTGTTCATTAATTGTGTGTTGAAAAAAAGAAAAGGGATATTTTGGTTAATCCTACTACTCTATTCCCTAAATATTTTGGCTAATCAAAATGTTATCTGAACTGCCCTGGCTGGTGTTGCTAAATGGTTAGAGCATCAACCTGCACATGGAAAGGTCCTGGGTTAGATTCCCAGTCAAGGGCACATACCTGGGTTGCAGGTTCAATCCCTGGCCAGGATCAGGGAGCATGTGGGAGGCAACCAAATGGTATGACTCTCACATCAATGTCTTTCTCTCTCTCTCTCTCTCTCTCTCTCCTCTCTCCCTCTTCTCACCCTCCCTTCCACTCTCTCTAAAAAAATCAGTGGAAAAAATGTCCTTGGTACTGAACTTAATATTATCAACTATGTTAAAGCAATGGATGTTCTAATTAAATATTACAGTAATTTTAACTGCTGGTTAGCTGTTTTATACACATGAGACATAGATTTAAATTTTTAAAAAACAATGGAATAGCATTCCCTTAGCATTAAATACATGCTGAATATAATTTAAGTGTTCTCTGATAAATCAGAAACTATTTCACTACTCTGCAGTATCAAGTTCTCATATAAACAGTAATTTATATTGAGTTAATTTATCATCACCCCCATAGATTCTTCAGATATATTACAACAGACATATGTGAAAGTAAAAGAAATCTTGCAACATACTGCCTAACTGCAAATAAGAACAAAGGAGTTGCCTACAAATACTAAAAGCTCTGCTATTAAGAACCTAAAGCTGAAAATGGGGGTGAAAGTGCTATGCTTTTCTTGGTCCAAGATGCAAACTATGTTCCAACTCAGAAATTATTATTGAAAAGAAATCCTTGGAAAGTAACTGCCAAAACGTCTAATACTATCTTCACAGCTAGAACCTACCATTTAAAAAGAGAAGGCAAGACGGCTGACAGAAACCTATTTAATCGTGTTATTTTAACAGCCTGGAATTCCAGTGCATCCATAGACCAGGTGGCAAGAAATGCTAGATGAGGCAGGGAATGATTAGCTACCTATCTCACCCATGAGCAGTTGAGAGTATACGAATATCACTGATTTAAATGTGTCACCTATCTAAAGCAGCTCAAATAATTACATTTTAAGCATGACATGGAACAAGAAATGGCTAGCTTGTTATTCGATAGTGTCCAAAGTGAAAATCCTAAGTTGTGTAGATCTACAAATCAACCATACAGATTTTTATCTAGAAAATGAGCTCTATAACTGCCTTTATAAGTAAGTCCATGAATCATGAACATTATTACCCACACACAGCAAAGTACAAAGCCTATTTCTTGGTTTGGGTAATATTAATTAAAGCCTTTTTATTGAGACTATTATGTGAAAGAGAAAGTCCAAAAATACAACTTCTTCCCCACTCCTCTTCCCAAGGTTAGGCAAGTCAATACCCACCCCTTGTTTCTGACCCTACGTAACGGAGAGATTACGAACTTAAAATTATAATGATGACAACAGACCTTAAAAATCTGTAGTATTTAAAAAGAAAAATCTTTTTAAAACAATAATAAAACATTTTCTTCTCATACAAGTTTTACTTCAGTCAACCTAAAATGTTTCAGACCACAGACTAAGTCTTTTTATTTTATTTTATTTTTATTAAATTTATTGGGGTGACATTGGTTAATATTATCTGTCCACCATTATGTGCCCACCACCCAAATCCAAATCATCTTCTGTCACCATATATCTGCCCCTTTACCCTTTACTGTCCCCTACCCCCTTCCCTCTGGAAACCACCATAGTGTTGTCTAATTCAAGAGTGAATAAAATTTCAAAATTCATCCATCATATTTTCAATTTATACCAGCAAAAGTATACACTGATATGAAATGTCTTTTTAAACCTGCCTTAGAGAAGGGCCAAACTTAGAATAAATATAGAAGGTGTAGCTAAAAGTTTCTGAATAGAAGGCTAGAAGGAAATGGGAATTGAGAGAGAATGCTGTCAAATGCTATCAAGGTGCAAGTTATTGGTATTATTAGACAAAAAGTAAACTTTATGCTTAACATACATCAATAGTTTGTGTGGCTCTTGAAATAAACATCAGTATCTTCAGTCTGGCCTTACACATAATTCTCTCTACTCTCTGGCCTCAGCATAACTCCACTCCACCCACTCTGTACTCCAGCCACACTGGCCTTCATCCTGTTCCTGAATGAGCCCCATTCCTTCCTGCCCTAGAGATTCATTTGGGCTGTCTGTCTCCTCTGCCCTGGAGCAATCTTCCCATCCTTCTGTGTCCTCACATCTCTGCTCAAACATCACTTCCTGGGGTTGGGCCAATTTCATGGACATGCAACCTGAGCAGATGCACAGGCCTACACTTAGAAAGGCTCAACCCTTGGTTTAATGTTGTGCTATCTCAATCCTGGAACATTTTTGAAAAAGGGGCCTCTCGTTTTCATTTTGCACTGGGCCTACAGCCAGTCCTGTCTTCAGGGAAGCCTTTGACCTCCCTGAATAGTTCAAACACTCTTTGCAAGCTTGAAGAGCATGCACACTCTGTTGTACAAGTTAACACAGTCAACATTTTGACACAGAAGTCAGGATTATTTGATTGCTTATCTCTTCCAAGAACATAAAAACACCATAAGTCCCCATGTCCAGTTTTTGTTACCACTTCATCCCTAGAACCTAGCACCTTATAGGCAATCAGTAGATTTTGGCTGAATGAATGTTTTCTATTCCCTATCATTATTATTATCAATCTGTTACCATTTAGGCTAAGAATGCAGCAGAAAAGATTAGGAAACTACACAACCTGCCCTAAAAAAGGAAACTTTACCCAAAAACTTTAATACCACAATCAGTAACACAACTGTAAAAATATTAAACAGCTGCCTGAAATAGTTGGCAGAATTTAATTCTATAAACTTACCTATGCAATGACCCTTAACACTGGAAATCTGTTTATATATTTTATATCAAA